GAGGACGGAGTCGGGATGACGAGTGGTTGGCCCGTCCCCTCCTCTGTTCATCAGACATTGACCGAGTGTCTTCTGTGTGCTCAGCTTCGAGGTTGGCGGAATCAAGGCTGTGCAACTGGTGGAAAAGAGTTAGGGGGCAGTCACAGATGGACTCAAAACTGCGAAGTGCTGCCTAACGAGAGACTGCACCCTGTAACTTCAGTGCCTCCTGTTAACTGCAGGGGTTCAAGTCGGAGCGATGGCTAGAGGTTACAAAGGCAGATGTTGGTTGCCAGTGTTGAAGAAGCATCCTTACTGAATTGAAATTATCCTTTTCAGGAATTAAGCAACTCCACCAAAGTCACATTCCTAACCAGTGGTGAAGCTCAAACAAAAGCCCAGCCTTCCGAATTCACAAGCTAGAGCCCTCTCTACACCGTGCTGTTAAACAGCGGTTTCCACTCTCTGAAAGGGTGAGACACGGGTGACCTCTCTGTTTTCTTGCAGCCCTAAAGTAGCCTCTTGCTGTGATGCTCCCTGGTGCTCAGTGTTTTTATGTGAATTGATGAGAGTGGAATGGATAACCTCTAAGACTCAACAGATGACATCTTTAACTTGCTTGAGTAAAAATGCTCCAATTCTTAATTCATTTTATATCCATAGCGTACACATTACTAGTTGAAAACAAAAACTCTTTGTGGCTAGATATATGAGTATGGAACTCAGATTCTTAAGTCATGGTGTTTATGCAGTATTTAGTCTACCGTTGAAGCACATGTTTCAAAGATGTGGGTCTGTGATTGAAACATAAAAGCAAAAATCAAAGAGATTATGTGGACTCCATGAGCCATGTTAGATTTTATAATAGTCACTGAGAGAAAGAAAAAGGAGTTTTTTGCCCTTGAAGTTCATTTCCTCCTCTTTCATTCCCCAACAGGAAAGGATGGGGACCTCGATATAGTCAGGTAACTGTGCCGAACTTGCTCAGACACCCCTGAGTAGCCTGCATCTAGGTAGCTCTCGGGCTGAGGAGCCCAGAGCTGAGAGCTGCCAGGGAGAAACTGAGTCAACACAGGGGGCTGAGGCAGGGAGGTGAGGCCTGGGAAAGGAACCGGAAGGAGAAGTGTCGCTTTTATCGGGTGTGACGTTGGCACAATCAACCCATGTGATGGGAGAAACACTAGACCCACACCACCACCCCGCAGTCTCCGTTCTGGGAGCCCTGCAGCTGCCAAGGCCACGAGCCAGTGCTCGAAGGAACGTGCTGGGGCTGCAGACGCAGGACCCAGTGTTCGGGGTTCGTGCGGCTGCGAACAGTGCGCAGGGTGCGTGGGGGCGGGCGGGAGTGGGCAGTGTTTCCAGGAGACCAGGAGTGTGGTTTGGGCTTTTCCCTGCTTTTCTTGAAATTCCTAATTTCTCATACCAATGTCAGTGTTTTTCAGACTTCTCTAAAACCGGCACACAGCAAGAAATACATTTTATATCAGGACCCACTGTGAAAACATGCACATACAAGTGCACACCTCGTACACCCCCTTTGATGTTTTCTGTGCTCATCTATTTTTATTTAGATGTGTTTAAATGTTGTAACCCACAAAGCTGGTTACATGGCCTCTATCGCTGTTCATCCCACAACTTGAAGGATATCATGCTGCAGTCACCAGTTTTAAAATGACTGTAAAAATGGCCTTATACACTGCATCCAAAAGTCAGTGATTCTCAACTGAGAACCTTTTGTCCCTCAGAGGACATGTGGCAATGTCTGGAGACAGCACTGGTTGTCACACAGCTCATGCGGGGCAGAGGGAGATGCCGACAACATTTCACAGTGCACGGGACAGCCCTCCACAGCAGAGTCAGCCGGTCATGGCCCTGCCCTGAGGGCAGCAAAGCTCGGCGACACTGCTACTCTGCCGTAGATCTGTTTAGAATGGTGGAAGCTTTAACCGGATCTTCCTTTTCTCTTCCTTTGAACTGTATTTGCTATGTTAACATCAAGTTGGTGTACAGTCATCCTTGGGTTGTCCACAGAGGTACAGCCCCGTGGATAAAAAGGGTACAAGGAATGAGTCTGTTTTATTTTATTGAGATTGCATGAGACATTTTTGTTAGAATATTGTTACTGATTTTAGGAATGTCTGTGTTTTGATTTCACTATCCTTTCCACCCCCATCCTTCCCACCTCCCCTGAAGCCATACTTACGGAGGGGGTGGGGAAGGTTTCTTACTCAGCCATAGCAGCGCTTAGCAAAGTGAAGGGAATTTGGCTAATGAGATTAGACATGGTCCCTAAAGCTTTCTCCTCTGGTCATGAGATTTGATTCTGCTGTTTTGGTGGGAAATGACCTTCTGCTAACCTTGAAGTGCCATCCTAAGCCCTAGTATTAAACCGTTTCTTGTGTTAGCCGCTGCTTCATCCCTCTATCAGAAGCTATTTTAGACCAGGTTCCTTTGAACATGGATGAGTCTGCACTCCCCAGTCTCAACATCCTCTCTCCTTCCACATCTGGCATCAGAGAAGCTCTTGAACGTCTCAGTGTCAATCCGTTGTTGCTTTTTCCTCGTTTTATTGGCTATTTCTGGGCCCACTCGTAAGGCTCCCATTTGCTCTGAATCATTCAGAGATGGCTTGACAGAACCGACCTAGTTTGGCTTGTTTACTTCTTTTGTTTGGCAAAAGGTGTGATGGTGGAAGGAGGCATCTCTAAATCAAGCATCAGAACTGAAATAGTAGTAGAAAATAAAACCAGTGCTATTTGAGGCTATTTTTTACCATGTTTTCCTCTTGTGCCTTATATTACATAAGCAATAGTATGCATATATAGTAAATGGTTTCTCATAAATAACTCATAATTAATTATCAGCGGCATAAATGTGTGTGTGTCCACCTTGAAACTTTAGATTTCTGTTAGCATAATAGTAAGTGGCACCCACAGATTCCAGAAACTTTGACGCATGAATTTCATTCCTTTTGCTTCGAGAGAACCATGAGACACAAAATTCTCTTCAGGCTTCTCACTCCCAGGCTAAGCACAGAAAGACAACATGTGAAGTAGAAGATGCAGAGAACTAATGAGGAGGAGTTAAAACATCAGTCTCTCTTTTAATAGTCCAAGACCTAAACTCTCTGCTCTCTCTGCTGTGGCTCAGTTTCAGAGTAAACTGAGCAAGACTAAGGGAACGAGTGGCGTTTGATGAAACACTGGTAGTGTGTGGGTCTTCACTCCAGAGGGGCCGAAAACGAGGGGGGCAGCCAAGGCTGCTGTTGGGCAGAGCGGAGGCACTTTCGAAGAGTTGAGTCACAGGCACTGTCCGCCAGAGGACAAAGATAGAGTCAAACTGGCTGAGAGAGAAAGAGAGAATGAGAATAAGAAAAGGAGCTGGAACTAATTCTAGCTGAAGGTTTCTGGTTTAGTTTAGGGTTCTGGCTCTTTGAAGAACTTAACCATTTTGGTTTCTAAGCGCTCATTAGTTAGATGAGACCCCAGTATACATCATTCACCCCAGCAGCAGTCACACAAGTGCGTGTGTCTAGAGGTAAAGAACCCAGTGCAGCGTGAGGGTGTGGGGTCACTTGCCTCCCTCGGAGAAGCCAGTCAGGTCATTGTACACACCCCTCCTCTGGTGGCCCTGCTCTGTAAACAGGAGCAGGAATCCCTGCTGCTGGATCCCTCTCACCGGGCGTCTCAGCTGCTGAATGAGAAGCCCTGTGAAAAGGAGACGCAGCACTAATAATAACGGCTACGATCGCTGTGGCTGTTTTGGGCAAGAGCAGCTTTGTTCCGCTCTTGATCTCCATCAGTGTCTGTCTGCCATTCTTGCCCTGCTGTTACCTTTCAGGCTTCCTATTCTTAGAATTATTTGCGAGCCCTGGACTTGGGGGATTGCAGCCCCCAAGGCCGGAATGCCCAGCTTGAGTGGAATGCAGACTGTCTGGCAGAGTAGAGGTTAAATAAAGTTCGCCTTGGCAGCCTGCCCTGCTCTTGCACGGGTGACAAGGAACTCGGGTACAGCATGAGCTCCATGTGGTGCTGTCCCACGGAGTCTTCCCTGTACCAGTAGAAGTAGCTGACAGTCCCTCCATTACCATCACAGCCATGCCAGTCTCAACCATGGTGCATGCTAAGGAGGCCACATTGCTCTCTGAACAAATACAGGGACAAATAAAGAATTGAAGGTGGGAATCCTTGTAAGAACTACAGGCTTGGTATATCTGCCCCCTCACAGTTACTAGCTCGCTTTTGAAATTTTGATAAAGGAAAATTTTTATTATAATAATTATTCCAATCAACAAAAATTTTCGAGCACTGAGGCACTGTGGGAATTTTTTAGAAGTATAAAGCATGGAACCCTTGTGATACTTACAATTTCGGTGGAGAAGTGAAGCTGTAAACACAAGAGAAAATAATTACTATCCCAAAGGAAAATACTAATTTTAAACCTGTGCTGCAGAACTAAGTGCCAGTGGAGCTCTAAGGGGAGAGAAAGCACCTTTGTCCGGAGCGGCCAAGGACTTTGTGGAGGAGCCGGAGTGGTAACTGGTCTTGCCGAAGGGTGGACTGCTGCCACCAGGAGGACAGGGCCTGTCTGGGAGAGAGCCGTGTGAGCCAAGGGCAGGTGTAGGGGGTGTGCAGGGCAGGTCTCGGGGATGTGCACACGGAGGCAAGGGAGAGGTGTTTACACGGACCCCTCGAAGCCTGGACTGTGAAGGTTGTGTGTGCGCGTCACTGAGCAGTCACAGCGCTTCCGCTGGAGGAGACTTGGAGAGGCTGGCCCCCTTTACTGTGTGTTCCATAAACCCCAACATGACGTGTGGCCCATCGTGGACGCTCCATAAACAACAGTGTCATCGTTATTTCTCGTCCCAAAGTCCGTGATCCCAAGTTGTTGAATTGGCTTTGTGTCTTTGTGAGAGTAGGTGCTAACTGTGCTTAGCCCTGTTCAGGTTGCTAGCACAGTCTGCATCTCACCACGCCCTTTCCTTCAGGTTTCTCTCCCCTTTCTTTTCTCTTCCACCACAGGTGGCTGGAGGTGCAGGTAGCTAATCTTACATGCCCACAGCGCTGGGTGCAGTACCTCCAGCTTCTTCAGGAATCCATCTGGCCTGGTGGGGTTTTGCCTAAGCATCCGCGGCCTGCAAGGACCCAGGAGCAGAAGGCGGCAGCTGAGAAACAGGCTTTGCAGAGCCTGATGGGCGTCCTGCCAGGTAATTGGACAAAGAGATTGGTTATCCTAGTAACTCTGCCCTTCCAGTCAAGCTTCACCATCACTCCACCCCTTCCCCGGGTTTGAAAGGCTTGAAATGTGGCTAGGCTCAAAGCCTGTCGACCCACCAGTTCTCAGGCTAGCAGGGGAAGGACCAGGGCTGCGATTCCTTCACTCCTCACCCAAGTGACCCTGCAGGCGTGGAGCGGATCACGGAGACACACTATAAATAGCAGGTGCGAATCCTGCCGGCATTTGGAGTTGTGGCTGTGCGGCAGGCCTGGGAAGCTCTGCCTGCGGCACCAAGGGGCAGGTCTCCGAGCCATTACCGCCAAGGGAAGGCTGGGTTCTCTGACAGCTCACAGCATTTTGAACCAGGGAGGAGATTATATGTCCTGCAGAAGCTCAGCCTTGATAAACTGGGGATGTGGAGTAAGATGCACGGTCCTTAGCAGTGGGCAAAAACAGACTCTGAAGAGGGGTTTTTTCTCTGCTTTATACAAATTTGGTGTTTGAGGGCAGCAAAGGCAGTTGGTCTGTGGCTCAGCTCTGTTAGCCTGGGTGCAGTGTCAGTTCCAGGCTCTGGACAATGTTGTTCACTGGTTTTAACCTCTGTTCTCCAACCTAAAATGGTCACATCAGGGCATTATTTCTGGAGGCCCAGTTTTACTTAGACACCTAAGTTAAGAAATACGTTTTCATGACATTTCTCTGTTTCGGAGGATTTTTAGTTTGCCCGTGTAGGTCAGAGGTGTGCTGGAAGTGCCCATGTAAATCAAGGTAGTGCCGACAATGAGATGTTGCTGTAACACTAACACCGCGTCTGTGTTTCCTCTGTAGATATTGTAGTTGAAATCCTGGGGGTGAACAAATGCCAGCTGAGCTGGAGTCTAGTCTTGGAGTCACTACAGCAACCGCTCATCAACAGGTAGGCTGAAAAGTGTGGACCCAGCGTCGGCGTAACTAAAGCCGTCTCTGGTCTCAGAGGCGCCAGGGTTTTTGAGTGAACAGCCCACACGGAGGAGAACAGAACTACAGTCTCTCCTGCCCCTGGCCCTGGCTGCAGACGATGTCCAGGTCCACACACATTCGGTGAGACCCATGCTGTCGGCTCCTGAGTGGGTTGTCATGTGACAGTAAGCGAGGGTTGCACCAGCCTCTGTGTTTGCATTTGGAAGAACCCCGTGGGGGCCCCACACGCTGCTGGCAATGCCCTTTCGCCCTCCAGCCATGTCAGCGTGCTCAGCGACTCTTCCCAGCATCTGCCAGGCCCTGTGCACACTGAACACTGACAGTGTCCCCTGGGCCACGCCTCACAGGCCACACGAAGGTTTGCACCTGGCCTCTCAGCAAAGCTCTGATGAGTATCCACACCAGGAGTTGTCTTTGTGTAATTGTGAGATCATACTTGGGTAAAGTGACCAGAAGTGCCAGGTGAACACTCCTAGGATAATTCAAAAGAGGCAGGTGTCCCTGGCTGGTACCTGGGGATGGGATGCTTCTGTAAAGTACTGAGTGCACCCACTCCTCCGTCAGACCCTGTCCCGAAGCAGACCGCACTTACCAACTCCCACCTCTCAAGCGTCCTGGCCTCCGCCCCCTTGCCTGTGAGGTAACCAGTAAACCTACAGTGGTGAACGATGAGAAACAGCAGCAGCCAGTAGCTCTGACGGTGCTTAGAAAGTCGATACCCCCCTCACAGGAACAGTGCAGATGTGCTGACGTCGCACTGTATAAACACATCCAGCATTTCCTGAAATCTGGTCTCCCTTCTGTTTGCCTGTGCTGGGGCATAGCCTTTTTCAGTTCAGCAGACTTGTTCATGGCAGAGGCTTTGTCAAGCTGTTTAAGTTTCGTGTCTACTAAGGGTATCAGTGATGGGGGGCAGGGGCTTAGATAAGTGTCATAAACAAGACCTGGTGTCTCTCAACTAAACCAGACCTTTCTCTAAGTTGTTTTGTCCACTTGTTTCAGGCATTTGATTTATTGCCTCTGGGACATCATCCTGGAATTCCTGGATCTCAGTGCCTCCATTGAGGAGTCCCCCACGGCCACCTCTGCCTCCGAGACCCCAGACAGCGCCGGGAGGACAGGTGTCCCCACTTAGGCTCAGGTCACCCGCCATTCCTCAGAGGGTAGGGAGGAGAGTGTCTCTGCCACCCAGAGGCCACTTGGCTGGCCTGCACCCTCGGAGCTGGGCGGTGACTTGGAAGGCACAGGTCTCGGTGACACAGGTTTCCCTCAGCTCTGCTCCACTGGAGCAGCTGAGAGGGGTGTGCACGCAACTGTGTGCGTGTGCAGTTGTCGCACCTTCTCTGGTGTTCGGGGTGTCGCTCCCGGGTCGATGTTCACAGGCAGTCTGCGAGGCGAAGGAAGGAGCCCCTTTTGCCCTCCTTCATAAGATTATTGGCCAGGAGCCCAGCCCAGCATGTACATGCACCTAATCCCCCAACACACACTATCCAGGTAAACCAGGGAGAAAAGGGGTGGGTTTCCTGGGAGGAGGACACAATCCCCTGAGCTCTCCGGTCCCACCAGGAAGCTGGAAGTTCATGAGGACCATTCTTGAAAGCCAGACCTGGTCCGTGGGGGGGGGGCGTCTCTCCAGGGGCTGCTTGCTCGTGGCTACGCCCCACCACAGCAGCCCTAAGGGGCATGTGTGTCATCGGGGGCTGCTTCCCTGGGGCTGCACTTCCCTCCCAGAAGACTTCAGAGCAGACAGCCGAAGCCTCTGGTAGACCCACCACACCTCCACACCCTTTCCTGAGAGGAGGTGCAGCACGGATTTTATTGCTTCTATTTCCTTTTAGTCTCCTCCCCAGGAGCAATTGAGCCCAGTCCTTTGTGACCCGATTCCTTCAGCAGGATCACAGGGGGATCCTGTGCATACTCAGCTCAGTGCCGCCGGTGGGAAGGGAAACACCGGCTCCACCACCGAGAAAGCCCCGAGGGCGGGAGCAGGGAGCCGGGAGCCACGGCCTTCTCTCTTCTCTGGTCTGACCGGGAACTGGAGCCCTACTGTCCGCAAGCCTACGGAGAACTGACTGCGCACAAAAATGCTTTAACTTCCTGTCCTGAGGGGTCTAGTTAGTCTTTAGGAATACCAGTGACAAAGGCAAAGGGGCTGTCAGGCTGCAGGGTCTTTAGGAAAAGTGGGACAGTGGGGCCCTGGCCAAGGACCTCAGTGGGTTACAGCTTTATTCCCGGACACCAGGGTTGCAGGTTTGATCCCGACCAGGGGGCATAGAAAAGCAACCAATAAAAGCATACATAAGAGAACAACAGATCAGTGTTACCTCTCATCAATAAAACATTTTTAATGGAACAATTAGGAGGAGGTGTTGGTAGGGAAGGAGGAGGAAGGGAGGGCACCAGAGAAGTGCTATAAACATGGGAGAGCTGACGAGAGGTTTGAAGGGTGTGGCTGGGAGTACGCCCACCCATCATCCTTCAGTGCTGGCCTGTTAGAGCCCCGCTTTCACCGGGTTACAGACCCTTCCATGGGTGGGGGGGCGCCAGATAAGAATGGGTGGGTCTAGAACAGGAGTCAAGATTCTCTCAGACTCTGAAGCAGGTGATGTGCACACGAGTAAAGTGGGTCTGCCAAGGGCAGCGAATCCCCGGGCTTTACCCCTGGACTTGGTGCTACTGTAACTGTCGTTACTGCCTCGGGGCAGAGATGCCTGAGATAGTGTCTCCCGGAGCCTTCTAACCTTGGAAGTTGATTGTTAACAGTGATTTTTATGGCTCCAAAGTTCCACAAGCATCTCTTATCTTAGTTAGACCCTTCCAGGCAGAAGGAGTTCCGCATGTCTGTCCTGGGTGAGCATTTGTAGGGGTGTGGAGTTGCGTGACTCCAGCTGACTTATTGGAGCTGATCTTTACCTCCTGTAACAAGTTCAGACAACGAGGGACATCTGGGGCCACAGTGCTCTTCAGGACAGGAGGCACCCTGTCTTGTTACCTTCTCTTCCCATACTTTACCTTCATATTTATGTAGCTGCCTGTATTGCTTTGAATCTCAGCTACTAGTTTTGGCTCAGAAATGGTACAAGACCAGTACATAAGCGGACACACCAGAAAATCCCTCTGGCTATAAATTCTAAGGAAACTTTTGGCACTTTCAACCCCCCAAAAACTCATGAATTTCATGTTACATAAGACCCCACCTGCAGTCGCTCTGCCCCAAAAAGATAAGCTGTCTTTATACCCTCCTTCTGCCCAAAGGGGAAATCATGGATATCACCAAGGAAATAATCAAAACCCATCTGGCTTCCAATCAACCTGTCAACCTGCTACTTGGGTAACAAGTTCAGACAACAAGGGGGATCGGCGTTTGGGAGAGAGCCACAGGCACCCGGAAGGTGCTGCCGGGGGAGAGTGGTGAAAGGCGATTAAGAAGAACGGAGCCTGCACCAGCACGGGACATTGCTCATCCTTTTCCCCCCATCGTTTTCCAGCTACGTTTCCTTCCCATCGCGCCCAACAACAGTTGTTAGGTCCTGGGTGGAGTGAAAATATATGTAAACATGGGCCCTGGTGATGCAAGCTAGGGTGTTTGGGACTGAAACAACTAGGAAGATTGATCGTTTCCCCATGAAAGTACTACCTGAGTGGGTGAGCCCTGGGGGTGCGTGCTACGCAACTCCGACTGCAGAGAGGGCTAGATTCCTGCTGTCTTTCTGCTCTGCCAGCATGAACATGGAAGTCTGGTCACAGACCATCTGTCTTTATGGTAGCTTCGGTTTGGGTCCTCGTGTTCATACAAAAATAGTACCTGTGAGGGAATAGGGGCATCTAATTTTCTTCTTTTAAAGAATTAGGGAACCATTTCCCAGAAGCCCTTCAAGAATCTTGTCATGATTCATTGGCCAGAGACTGCCCACCCATGAGCCAGTCCACGGACACAGAGTGGCATTATCATGACGGACTACCCATGGTACTCAGCCCCCAGACAGCAGGCCACCCTCCAGGGAGGGGAGGTGCCTGAAAAAGCATTAGATGTTGGAAGAGGCAGAGTGAGTGTTCTAGACAGTGTCTGTTACATGGGCCATTCTGCCGACATCAGCAGTCCCCCACGATCCTCAAAGTACCTGGTACTAGCTGAGCAGTGGCATTTGCTGAAGGTGCCACGTGACACACTCCATGTACAGAAACACCCCGTACACCAACCCTGTAAGGGAGGCTTCATCATATAGCCCCATTTATGGATGAGGAACGTAAGGCCGAGTCATTTACAAGGAAATGGCAGAACCTGCTATAAATCTTGTTGATTTGCCCTCGAGCCTACATCATCGCCATAATACTAACCCGCCTTTCATCTTTCAGAGCAAGACAAGACCAGCTTCTCCCTTTTAAGATGCCTGTAGTCTAGTAAAGGAGCCAGCAGACATTTTTGGTAAAGGGCCAGAGAAGAAATACTTCAGGCTTTGTGGCCACGCATCGCTGGTCTCTGCTGCAGCTGGTCAGCTCTTCGCTGCCGCACGAGAGCACAGACAATGCACGCACAGGTGACCGCAACTGCGCACCAGCCACACTAACAAAACAGGCCGCCGGCCAGGTTGTGTGGCCCACAAGTGGTTTGCAGACAGGCCCCTTGTCTAGTGAGTTAGAACAACACGTATCAAACTCGGGTGTGTGTGTGCTTTACCTGGGATCTTCCTGAAGGCCTAGTACGCTGCACATTTAACAAGCTCCCAGTTGCACATCAAGGAGCAGTCTGCTCTCCCACCAGGCTTTGAGAATCAAGGGGTTAGAACAGACAACTCCAGTTGGGTGTGATCATGCAAGGGCACTTGAGATTGGGGGACCTGGAAAGCCTGAGCTGATTGTATCTAAACTGACTCCTGAGGGATTAGTAAGAATGAGCCAGGGGAAGGTTGCAGGTTCAGTCCCACACCTGGGCACGTAGGGGAGGCAGCCAATCAATGTTTGCCCTCACTTTGGTGTCTCTCTCTCTCTTCCTCCCTTGTCTCTAAAATCAATAAAACATATCCTCAGGTGAGGATTATTTTAAATAAAAAAGAGTAGTCAGGAAAAGACAAATACATGATTCCCCTTCCCTGAGGCCCCAAGCAGTTAACCCATGAAACCGAGGAGCAGGGCTGCGTGCGCTTGGAGGGGAGGACAGGCGAGGCTGGGTGCGGCGTTTGGGGTCCGCGGCAGGAAAAGGTCCCGCAGGCATTTACAGCAGCGTAAGTGCAGTAACACTGCTGAACTGCACACTGAAGATGGTAAGTTAAATGTGCATATTTCACTACAGTGAAGAAATGCGAAAATAAAGAAATGGAGAGCTTCACGCGGTGCGGCGCTGTCGGAGCACAGTGCGTGGGAACAGAGCGCCCGAGGCTGGGCCGAGTGGGGGCTGCCGGGCGGGGCGGGCGAAGGAACTGCGGTTGTGCCCCTTCGCACCGTGGGGATATTCGAAGACTTCCTGAGGAGGCTTTTTCATCCTGGTCGTCCCGTCCTACAAGCTTGTGAGAGATGAAGGGGCTTGATGGCGCACGTGAACCGCCCCTAGTCCTGCACCTGCCACTGTCATTGTCACCTCCGGGCTCCCGTTGTTTCAAGTCTGTTTCTGCTAATCCCTGTACATGCGGTAGCTTCGTGGAGAAATGAATGAGTCATATATAAGAATGAGCTTTACAAAGTGCTTTACGAATGTCTGTCCTGGGTGAGCATTTGTAGGGATGTGGAGTTGTGTGACTCCAGCTGACTTATTGGAGCTGTTCTCTGCAAATGTCGATGGCATCGTTTTCTCAGGCCCACGCTGTCTTTGGGGGCAGCTGGTGACACCTGGCTTCGGGCAGGTTCAGCCAGGCTGCCTCCGGCAGACAGGCCTCAGGTTCTCAAGCCCTTCAGCCCGCTGACGACACCAGCCTTCGCTCACAATGGAGCAAGGAGCGGTTTCCCAGGACAAGGAAGGGAAGGTTAGCCAGCCGGCCGTGCTGGATTCAAAAGGGAAGGGGAACGGAGGAAGCAGTGATAATTGTTGGGGGTCAGGGGGCACCGTGAGGCTTTTGCAGTAAGCCACTCCATAAAGTGGCCCCGGTTTTCTTTCCACTGGGAGCGCCAGAGATCACAAGGCAGATCCCAGCTACCAAACCTCATCACTCCTTTGTGGTATAAACATTGAGACGTGCTGCCCCCCGCAGAACCACCTCTCTCAGGAGAGAGCCTGTGAGGGGACACTGCCCCAGACACAGCTGCCACATCCCGAGGCGGGTCTCAGGGTTCCTGTTACACAGAGACAGCGCTGGCTGGTCTAAAAACAAAGCCAGACCTCGAGCCAGAAGAATGTGTCCGCAAAAAACAACTGAAAATCATCAGAACCTCTCCTGCTGTGACCCAGTAGCAGCAGCGTTTGACAGCAGGCCGGCCGGCTGTGGTGCCAGGGGTGGGGCACACTAGCCCCTCTGGCAGACACACTGCACCGTCCTGGAGTTTGCTCAGCGTCCTCGTGGACTCCCTGTCACTTCTCACCTGTCTCTGGGCCGAAAGCACATTTCAGCTCCACATTCTTGGAAGTGAAAACAAGCATGTGATGAAATACAGAGAACTGCTCCTGCCTTTGATGTTTCTGCACCAATGCGACAAAACCTGGTTTTGTTACATGCCCCGATGGGTGAAACCCTACCTGCAGACACGAGTCCCTGCTCCCATTTCTGGGATGCAGAGGGTTGGGAGGGAAGATGTGGCCAAAGAAAAGTAATAATATCAAGATCCAAACTTAGAAAACATTCCTTGAAATGACATTATCCACTCATTTTAACCCAAAGTAGCCCTCTTTGTCACTAGCCAGTGTTTCTTTGGAAAGTGGCAAGTTAATTTTAATACTGGAATGTTACAAGGATTAAGGTAAGTCTGGGCTTATATATAATCCACACTCCGGCTTGTGTTTCTTCCCCTTATGTTCCATGTCACTACTGCTCCCTGTTATTATGAACAGCGGAGAGTTGGCTATAATTACTTCCAGACACATGGATTAAACCAAGCCAGATAAACACAGAAGTCTGCGGTCACAGATAAAGGCACTAACCTGTCTTCAAAAGCTGTGACTGCCCGCACTGGAGTGCATCGGATCTGGTGGTCCGTCAGCCTGGGAAACAGTCCTCTTGCCTGTGCCCTTGGGAAGGAATCATTTTGCCCCTGGACCTGTGGAAAAGGTTAACTGCGATTTAGCAAAATGTCTGTATTTCGTATGTTGCCATTACGGAGGGTAGGCCTTATTAACAACAATTTTTTGGTGTTACATCCTCTACAAATACACAGAGTCCAAATTCAA